AAAGAAAAAAAAAAAAAAACTTTATTAATTAAAATTATATCATGTGTCCTCCGTTTGATTTCTTTTTAATTTTTCTTTTCATTCTCAATCAAGTAAAAGGGTAAAAAAATTCCTTGAGTAAAAAAAAGGTAATTAATAATTTCTGTAAAATTTGAGAAAAATTATGAAAAGAAAGTGAATTTAAATAAGTTAATGAATTCAGTTGATTTAAATGCTAAAATTTTGATGAATAAACTTAATTTGGAGCAGGAAACACGTAAAAAGGAACTCGTAAAAAATTATTTTTTCGATCGATTTCGATTTTGGTCACTTCGTCAGTAATTCTGACTGAAATTATATAATCACGTGTTCATTTTTATAATATATATACAGAGTAAATTTTCCAACCCGAGTATCTTCGCACAAATAATTAGTATTTTTTAATTCACAGCAAATTTATTTTTTATATATTAGTTGCTCCGGCAACATTTTTTTTATTTCTTAAATAAAGCATATATTACGTTCTTGTCGTAAATCTCGATAAATGTCACGTGTAATAATCGGCTTGATACATTTTAATTGCATATATATGGGGCAAATACAATACAAATAATCTATATTTCTCTCCGAGCGTGTCTTACTTCGGAAGCAAAAAAATACTTTTATATCCATAAACTAGCTTTACCTGTAACTGCATAATTTTTTCGCAAGCATAAACACACATATATAAAAACCATGTTTTCACAGGCTTCTTCACCCGCTTCACCCGCCTCAATAACGGAAGAAATTTCCACTAGAACGATGTCGGGAATATTTTGATACAGAGGGGCTTATCGAATATTGGGGGGATATTGGCTTCGCATTAGGTCCAGCAACAGTTCTTGCAGAATTCATTGAAGGTATCAGCCAAAAATTACGAAACTACTCCTCGTTTAAAACTCTCGATGACTTGAAGGGAAATGTTACGTATAAATAAGGTTAATGGGGAAGATATAACAAACATCAAGCAGTTTACTCCTGGTGGGTGATTAATTTTTCAGAACTGGACTGACGCTAACGAGGAGACGCGCTGTGAATTTATCTCAGCAATATTACACGCATCAATTTCCATCGCTAAAAAACTTACTTAAGATATTTTTATGGTGTTGCAGAAGGATATTTCATGAGAAGATTCAACCGGCCGAGTTGACTATGCAATCAAAGCTCTAGAAGACCTCCTATGTATCACCGAAGGGAAGCCTCGTAATATTAAGATTAGATATGCGCAGGTAAGACCTTTTTTTTTCTCATTTATATTCGAAAAAAATTATTATTATCTGATTAAGGCGTGGAGTATATATCCTCTATGTAGGGATCGCAAAAGTCGGATATCCGCTAGATGGGAAAACAATGCTAGTGTACCCAAGCCTTATCTCGCATCGGACCTGATCAAATGCGAATCCCTAGCTCTATGTTTGCTTTAACTTCCGAAATGTTTGATTGAGGAAGGATTCGCGTTTTAGAAGATTTAATCATATTAACACATTTATTTCTTAGAATCTGGCGCAACTTGAAAGTGCATTCCAAACAAATAAGAAAAAACGAACTGCGGATCAAGCTTTTAGGAACGATTATTTCGACTACCTCTATGGTATCATGTCGACAGGAACGGGTTGGCATTTTATTATGTATACTCCAGATGGTATTTACTCCACGAGCAGTAGTGAATATCAGATCAATCTTACGAAGTCTGCGATTAAGAAAATCTTGATTACTTCGAAGCAACGTGAAGGGTAATCGGCATCATTGTTGGATTATTGAAGGATCGCGTTAGTGTTGATAGTTCTCCGTCTAGCAAAAGGGCTAGGATCAAAAAAAATAATATGTATCATGGGCATAGTTCCGAACATTTGTATTTATTTTCGCATGTAATATAAAAAATTTTTCTTGGCAAAGTAATATTTTTACGTGCACACTGCGAATATTTTATTCCATGAAGCAAATAATAACACTTAAGTAATATATAATAATATTTTTAAAAACTGAGAATTATCCTTGAGTTTTAAAATTCCTAATTCCTCCATCCTGAGCGATTCCTAAAGCAACATAAATGAATTATAATATAATTAAAATTATGCATTAATGAATGTCTATGTCCATCACTGTACATATGTTATAAGCAAATAATAACACTTAAAAACAATATATAATAATATTTTTAAAAACTGAGAATTATCCTTGAGTTTTAAAATTCCTAATTCCTCCATCCTGATCAAATATCCTAAAGCAACATAAATGAATTATAATATAATTAAAATTATACATTAATTAATATTCTGAATGTTTATGTCCATCACTGTACATATGTTATAAGATGTATTGTATACGTTTTCAAGTATAAAGGTAGCGAGTGCATTGGGCAAGAATGGTTCATGATATCTCGATTCACGCAAACACTGTAAGTATAAATCCCGTGTTTTCATTCCCATATACAATGAAAGTGGCACTACAGTGAATTTTGATAGTAAATAACTCAATAGTAACCTAGCCACCCTTCCATTTCCATTCATAAAGGGATGGATGTACAAGAAATGTGTGAGAAAACATGCCCCAAATTTGATAGCTTCGTCTAAATCCAATTCCTCTTTCCCAAATTTTTCTTGACATTGACGGAATAGCTCTTCCATTCTGTCCTCTATCAAATTTGGTGCCAAATAAACGTAATTTTCCTGTGCTGCCATAACGTATTGCGTTCTGTACAGACCCGCATTCTCAATTAACCCATTACCAATCTGTTGATGCAATTGCTGTGCAAGCAAAGGCGTAAAATGATCTATTGGAAGATTAAAAAAGAAAATGGATGGGAAAATGCCATTAATGGTATCGTGAAGATTTTGGATTTTTTTAGCTAGGTGCAAAGAACGAGAAGGGCCAAACATTATTCTATGGATATTGCTGTCACCAAATGTTATTCTGCAAATATAACTAGCCAAGTGTAAAATAGGTCTAAAAATTGTTCTTGAAAAAACTATTTCGCAAACGTAAGTCAGAAAATCTTTAAAGTGTGATTTCTTTAACAGCTGTTGTATAATATTAAGGTCTACATCGCCTTCCACTGAAATGCATTCCATTAGATAATGTTCACGATGAAGGTCCATAAAGCCCTTCCAAAAGAGTTCATTCTCATTTTCAATGGATAATAATATGGCTTGTTGAAGACGTTTGATACTTGAGATGAAATACTGAGGAGCGCGGTCATCATAATCTGATCTCCACCAAGGTTTATTCACAAAGTCAAATTTTGAATATATCAAAGACATCTTGTATGAAAAAAGTTCTTTTTCAAGTTTGATCAGTAAAAAAAGAAAAATTTAATCAGTAAGAAAAACAAATGCATATTTATACTAATTTATAAAAATCACATGACTAAATTTGACTGACGATTATTTCACCATCACTTTATTGTGTTACACTAAAGCAAAATGAGTAATACAAATAGTTACTGCGTATATTACTATATTAGTAATTTTTATGTATATGTTGTAGGTTAATTCAGGATAGCAGTGGAAACAGGATTGACCAATTATATGTCATCACGTGATTGCCAATCCTACTTATGCATGTTGCTGATCTTACTGTAGGTGATTTAATTATATTGTGGTCATCACGTGAAATCTCGAAACCACTGGATTCCAAATCCACATACAATATATATACTATAATAATTAATGAGTGTATATCTGTGTAATACAATTATAAATAATATTGATAATCAAAAAATTTTTTCATATCAAACCTTTACTTTCTTTTTCAATTTCAAATTATGAATAACGATTTTTTATATAGCCAAATTTATGTGATATAAAGAATCTGAAATATATATTATGAAAAATATGACTGTTAAAATAATAATTCATTTATTAATTCCAGTTAAGTATCTACAAACTAATGAAGAAGGTGTTGCAATAATTTATCATATTAAAGGATGGAATAATATAGAAGCAGTTTCACAGATGTAAATATTTACTTTAAATTAAAATAGTAATAGCAATTTTACTGTAAGTATTTTATTTAAGGATCATTTTAACGCTCACCAGAGGTGAAATTCACCGAAGGTGATTTTTACCAGATCACGTGATTTATAATTATTTTTATTAAAATTCGGTTTTGAACAAAGTACAATTTTTAATTTTTAACATCTCTAATTATAACACAATGCATATATACAATATAATACATTATTGGTACTAATTGTTAAATAATCAAATGATTTAATAAACTTGAATAGATAATGAGGGAGTGAAAATGATGATGAAAAAACATAAACAAACAAAATAGATAATAAAGGAGTGAAAATGATGATAAAAACACATAAAGAAACAAAATAGATGATGAGAGAGTAAAAATGATGATGAAAAAACATAAAGGGACGAAATAGATGATGAAAAAACATAAACAAACAAAATAGATGATGAGAGAGTAAAAATGATGATGAAAAAACGTAAAGAAACAAAATAGATGATGAGAGAGTAAAAATGATGATGAAAAAACGTAAAGGGACAAAATAGATGATGAGGGAGTGAAAATGATGATGAAAAAACGTAAACAAACAAAATAGATGATGAAGGAGTGAAAATGATGATGAAAAAATATAAAGGGATGAAACAGATGATGAGGGAGCGAAAATAATGATGAAATAACGTAAACAAACAAAATAGATGATGAAGGAGTGAAAATGATGATGAAAAAATATAAAGGGACGAAATAGAT